ACCGCATTTTGGTAACTGAAACATGACAATTACCCAAATATATCAGATCTAGTCTCCTAGAGCTATAATCCCTATAGAAATCGATACCTTGCTCTTGGTGACGGAATCATTGACGTTAATGGCAGGGAACAAGAGAGCTCCAGTCTCTTGCATCTGGTAAAGCCTCTTAACACCAGTAGTCGTCTCCTCAGAAACACCAACCAATCTCTCCTTCATCTTGTGATACTTCTTAGGATCAACTTGAAGACCATCTTTGATAATAGACAACACAATCTGAAACTCAGGATTATCAGTAGAAGTCGGATCAGGAAACTGACCATTCTTCTCAAAGATCTCCTCAGCTTTCACTCCTTCATGAATCAGAAGCGTAGCGTCACCACCGTCGTCGACGATCAGATCAGGACCACCTCCAGGACCCCAATCAAGAGCTCTCTCAGTACACCACCAGTATTCCTGAAGAGTCTCACCTTTCCAAGCGAACACAGCGGCGGAATCACGAGCAATCGCGGCGGCGGCGTGATCCTGAGTGGAGAAGATGTTGCAGGAACACCATCTGACCTCTGCACCGAGAGCGGTTAGGGTTTCGATTAGAACGGCGGTCTGGATCGTCATGTGGAGAGATCCGGTGATTCTAGCTCCTTTCAATGGCTGAGAAGGACCGAATTCAGTAACGCAAGAGACGAGACCAGGCATTTCGACCTCGGCGAGCTCGATCTCGAGACGACCGAAATCGGCTTGAGACATGTCTTTGACCTTGTACTCACGGCCACTCGACGTCTTCTCTACAAGCAACGCCATTGGAAAAGTATTAGAAATTTCTTCCGATCTGTGACTGTCTGTGAGAGAGGCGAGGAATGGAGTGAGTGTGCGAGGAGAAAGGAAAGGTAGCGACTGAGGTTATATAGATAAAAGCGGGAGTGAGATGGACGGTTGAGATTAGTTTTAGAGAGAGTTTGGTGGATCTGGTGAAAGAATTAGACTTTTTATCCTTTTTTTAGATTTTCCGGAAAAGGTGCCAATTCTGTTTTCGATTTTACTTTTGGAAGGAAGGTATTATATAATTAATAAATTATGTGTAACTGGTGGTTAGTTTGAA